CAACGCTTATGCGGGCGTTATTGTATGTCATACATACAATAACACCTCCTCCAATGAGTGTTGTTATATATTTGATACATATAAATATGCTAGCTACATGGAGTGTTGTTATATTAATCATATATAAAAGCACCGACTATAATGAGTGTTGTTAAATTTTATAAACACAACAACGTTACCTACAACAAGCATTGTTGTATTAATCACATATAACAACACTATCTATAATGAGCGTTGTTGATATATATACATATAGCAGAGATTCCTTCAGCAATCATGGTTGTATGTAATATATACAACAACTTGCTAGATCTCCCCTTATCATGCGCTGTTGATTTTAACACCATATACATTTATCAACAGCACAAACATATATTCTCAACATCACAGACACACATTAATACCTACCAATTATGTTTGTATTATTAATATAGATACAATAAAAATTACAAACAAATCATATCAATTATGTTTTGGCAGAGACGATAAGTACATAAAATTACAAACAAAAATATTTGTATAATATATGCAAATTACAAACAGATAAAATTATGCTATAATTATACAAAGACATGATCTAATTTTTCCATTTCTTTGATCATTTTTGGCTTGCAATATCCTTGTTTGGAGGAACATATTGATTCACCCAAAGCCCTTCATTGTGATCATCTATAGTATATAAATCATCATTCGTAGTTGGTCAACTCTCACGTGACTATGATGTCCCAAAAAAGGATCACCTTCTGCATCAATATTTTCATATTCTCGGTCACCAATATCATTGACGATTATTTTGTTAATCAAAAGAGCAATGTACTATATCCTGACACCATATGTAGGGAATCACTAATTGTACCGAACAACAAAGCCCTCAAGTTGAACCTGTTTTCTCTATACGTGTAATAAACATCTATACTTGTCTCACACATTTGCTTCAAGTCTTCAAGTAATGGATCCAAGTATATGTCTATGTCATTTGCTGGTTGTTTAGGTCCAGAAATTAACATAGATAACATTACAAATTTATGCTTCATTCATAGAGAAGGAGGTCAGTTGTATATCACCAACATCACTGGCCATGTACTTTGGGAGCTACTTTGAACACCATGTGGGTTAATTCCATAAGTTGACATTACAAGGCTTAGATTTCTTGATTCTTGGCCAAACATGATCAACGTTTCTCCATTGAGGAGAATCTATAGGATCCCGAAGCTTGCCATCTTTAATCATTTCATCAGCAATCCATGTCAAGTTCTATAAATCTTTCGCATTGCTGAACACACGCTTAAATCTTGTTTTGATGGGAAAATACCATACAACCTTTTTCGGAATTTTGTCTTCCTTCTTATATTGTGGTGCATTACGTTTAGGACAAAACTTCAACAAAACATACTCATTAAAAAATAAAATATAATCATTTTCACAAGCATGTATTCTATTGTAGTCCATGCCAATGGAGCATAACATTTGTTTAGCATCATAGGTTCGAGAAGGGAGCACATTATCCTTCGACAATATATCCTTCAAAAGTGAAAGTAAGTCTGTGAAACTCATATCACTCCATCCGTTAAGAGATTTCAACTTATAACACCTTGATACCATTGCCAATCTTGTGAATTTAGTACAACCATCATATAATGGTTTTACAACATCACTTATCAACCACTGAAACATCTCAGGACAATTCTGAGGATCCTCTTCAATAATATTTGCCATTTCCTCAAAACGATCGTCTTCATATGCATTTGTGTTGTTTTATTTCTTACACATTTCAGGACAATCCTTAACATCTATTTTCTCACCATGCCTTGTCCAACATGTTTAACTCTAATTGATACCATGATATACTAAATGAACTATTAACTCATTTGGGGTAACCCGGTTGGAGTAACATTTTAAACAAGGACATACAATTCTATTAGGGTTTTCAACATTCTCAGTTGTAAACCTAACAAATGATTTTACTCCATCATCACACTCCTTCATCAATCGATTGTCACTCATCCATTTTCGATGAATACTTTCATCCATTTTCTATAAAGGAATTGACAAAAAATATTAATGAACATAGATCCCTAAAATCATGGAGTTAAGCTTACCAAGCAGAGCAAATACATTATTAGGGGAACCCTAACTCATGTGATGAGGTGAATGAGGAAACCCTAATTCAATACAAGTTGAATGAGTGAATGAGTGAACTTTCAATTAGGACATTAAGGAAAAACCATGTAATAAGGTGAAATCTAACTCAATATAAGAAAAGATTTATAAAGAAAACTCACTTTCAATTCGGTGTTGAATGAATGAAATTTCGTTGTTGAATGAGTGAAGGATTTTGAGGTTGAATGATTTTTGGTGTTGAATGATTTTGAGGTTGAAATAGATTTTTGGTGTTGAATGATTTTGAGGTTGAAAGAGATTTTTGGTGTTGAATGATTTTCGTGTTGAATTATTTTGAGAGAAAATGAGTTTCATGTTAAATTATTTTGATAGTAAATGAGTTTCAGTGTTGAGTAAATGAGTTTTGGGATTTCTGAATGTACGTGAATGCATGAATTTTTTTTTAGTTTTTTAGGGTCTAGTCGTACTTGGGATTGTTGAGCATTAAGCATTCAAATAATGACAATTAATTACATTATATATATATATATATATATATAGAACAATTGATTACATGTGTAGAACAATTAATTACATGTGTAGAACAATTAATTAATTGTGTTTTTAATGACATTTAAGTAATGACTGAGATTGCAAGAGCAGTCAACAAGTGAGATTGCAACATCTAATTAAATCTAATTCCATTTTCAGGTCATATTTGGTACCAAGGACATTTTGGACATTACAAGTGGATGATGTGTGCAAAAGTGAAGATTGTATATTTTATTAGGATTTTTATTTCCGTTTGGGTTTTGGGCCCATTTCCGTTTTACACCATTTAAACACATGATTTTCGGTTTTGAAGGACACACTTTAACATTACATTACTTTTTGCCTTAGAACATTGTTATTCCGTTTTCCCTCTTTTGCTCTCGTAGGGTTTATGCATTTTCGTTTTTGCTCTTCTCCATTTTCGGTTTTGCTTAATCCTTCCATGGAATGCTAAATTTCTGGACTAAACTCCTTTGGTAATGTATCACAACTCTTGAGGTTTGATTATTAATGCAATTTCGGTTTCTTATTTTTTAATTTCTTCTATTCAATTTCTGGATGTGGTTTGCTTAATTCCATGCCTTAGAAATAGATTTGTGAACTGATTTTCGCTTAGTCAATCATTTCTCTAGTGCATGAATGCTTAGTTCGTGTGAATTTGTTTATGAGTTGATTATCGCTTAGTTACTTGATTATGAACAAATTAGGGATTCAACAATTAGAATATGATTTTGATACTGTGAAACCGAGGATTGAGTTGTGATTAAGGAAACCAAAGGGGTTTAGCCGTTTCACTTTTCTGTTAATTACTGTTTCTGTTTTAGTTTTAGATTCATACCATAAAAACAACAAAACCCCCCTTTGTGTGTGTGAGTACAAGGTGTATGAACTATTGCCTGAAAGATAATCCTTGGGAAACGACCTAGGAGTCACTTCCTAGTACTATACTTTATTGTTACATTATTTGTATCGAGTACGGCCTCGATCAAATTTGGCGCCGCTGCTGGGGATTATCGGTTCATACAAAGGTTCTCTGTAGTTTCATAAAGCTTATTTTAGTGTAGTGTAGTTTAGTTAGTCATTTCTGTAGTGCATTTTTTGGTGAAAATTGTGATATTGGTGCAAAAAGCTGTTAATATGCACTGTTCACTGTTTACTATTTTCCTATTTTTCATGATTTATGTGATTCTGTTTTGCTGGTTTATATAGCTGTAGGTGGAATTTTTGCATGAAATTTGGTTTCCACACTTCTTTCATCCCACATTGAACACCTGAGAAAGCAGAACCACTTTCCGAGCTGTAGTTTGTGAGATACAACTTTACGGTGAATAGTGAATAGTTGAAAATTTGTTTTTAGCATAACTTTGTCTCCGTATATTAGAATTGGACATATGACATATGCATTTGGGGTAGAAAAATAAGTTATACCCACTGCCACAAACAAAGTATGTCAACTCCGAACCAAAAATCCGAAAAAACCCTTTTTACTATTTCTTTTTTATTTTTTAAGGTTTATTTTTTATTTTTTAAGGTTTATAGTGAAACTGTTTTGCATTTTTAACATAGTTAGGCTTTGAATTTTTCTTGAAACTTTTTTTTACATGTGCTATATGATATTAGGATGTCATTGATGCAAATACTTGGTTGATTCTACAATTATAATATGCATTTCCATTATTGTTGCCTTACTTTATTCCTACTGTTGATTGTATTGCATGACTAGGGGAAATACAGGCCATTTGCATCCAATAAATCCTGAAATTGATAGAACATAGCATAGGTTAGTTAGACAGAGTAGAAATTTACCTTTCCATAGTGTACCTGATTCTGTTTCTGATTCTGATTCTATTTGTGATTCTATTCTTGTTTCTGTGCATTCTGTGCAATATACTGATTTTGTGCATTCTGTTGCATTGTCTGATTCTGAGCATTCTGAAAATTCTGTGCACTCTGAAAATATGGCTCAACCACCTACTCCTCCTGGTCCTCGTGAGAGGACATTAAGGGAGCTGGGTGCACCTGATTTCACTTATGATAGCTTGTGCATCCAGTTTCCCAATGAGGATGTGCCATATGTTCTTAAAACTGGACTAATCTATTTGTTGCCAATGTTTAATGGACTTGCAGGTGAGGATCCTCATAAGCATCTTAAGGAGTTCCATATTGTCTGTTCAACCATGAAACCTCATGATGTCCAAGAGGATCACATCTTTTTGAAGGCCTTCCCTCATTCACTTGAAGGCCCTGCAAAAGACTGGTTGTACTATTTGGCTCCTGGATCCATCACAAGTTGGGGTGACCTGAAGAGGACATTCCTTGGTAAATTCTTCCCTGCCTCCAGGACCACTGCAATCAGAAAGGATATTTCTTGGATTAGGCAACAACATGGAGAAAGTTTATATGAGTATTGGGAGAGATTCAAGAGGTTATGTGCAAGCTTCCCCCATCATCATATTTCATATCAACTCCTACTCCAATATTTTTATGAAGGTTTGAACAACATGGACAGGAGTATTATTGATGTAGCTAGTGGAGGTGCAATTGGAGACATGACTCCGTTTGAATCTAGAGGTTTGATTGAGAAGATGGCTTCTAACTCTCAACAGTTCAATGCAAAGAGCAGTGATGCCATAATTGTGAGAGGTGTGCATGATGTTGGGACTGATTCAGTGAGGCAAGAAAATCTTGAGCGAAAAATTGATTCCCTCACCACATTGGTCACTCAGTTAGTCATGAATCAACAGAAACAACCAATGGCAAGAGTATGTGGCATTTGCACCTCACCTGACCATTATAGTGATGTTTGTCCTTCTCTGCTTGAGCCAAGAACTAGTGATCATCCTGGCCTATGCTGCAAACATCTACAACAACAGACCAAATCAACAACAGCAAAATTATGATCCATCTTCATGCAGATACAACCCTGGTTGGAGAAATCATCCAAATCTCAAGTGGTCTGATCACACACAACAACAACCTCCTCATGCACCATTTCAGAACAACAATGCTGGACAGAATAGACCTTATGTTCCCCCACCAATTCAACAACAAAGGAAGCAACAAGTGATTAATAATCCTCCACCTGTACCTAGTGAACCGTCATTGGAAGAGTTGGTGAGGCACATGACAATGCAGAACATGCAGTTCCAACAAGAAACCAGAGCTTCTATTCAGAGACAAGAATCTTCAATTCAGAATCTGACCACACAAATGGGACATATGGCTACTTCATTGAACACATTGCAATCGCAGAATTCTGACAAGTTACCTTCTCAAACTGTGATTAACCCGAAAAATGTGAGTCCCATCACCCTATGGTCAGGAAAGCAGACTGAATTGGCAACCTCTAAACCAGATTCTACTCTACAAAAGGTTGATGACATTGGCAAACACATTCATGCATCTACACCTTCCTCAAGTGCAGCACAACAACCACCTCCCATCCCTCTTCCATTTCTCCCAAATATCATTCCAAGCAAGAAAATGGAAGAGGTCGACAAGGAGATCTTGGAAACATTTAGAAAGGTAGAGGTGAACATACCTCTACTTGATGCCATCAAGCAGATTCCAAGATATGCAAAGTTCCTAAAGGAGTTGTGCACTCACAAAAGGAAGCTGAAGGGTAATGAAAGGATAAGCATGGGCAGAAATGTTTCTGCACTCATAGGTAAACCTATTCCTCACATTCCTGAAAAATGTAAGGACCCAGGTACATTTACTGTTCCTTGCATCATAGGTAACAATAAATTTGAGAATGCCATGCTAGACTTAGGAGCTTCAATTAATGTCATGCCTATGTCTGTTTTTATGTCTTTGTCGATTGGACCTTTAAAGCCTTCTGGTTTGGTAATTCAATTAGCAAATAGGAGTACTGCTTATCCTGCTGGCCTGGTAGAGGATGTTTTGGTTCGGGTTGGTGAACTTATATTCCCTGCTGATTTTTACATACTAGATATGGAAGAGGGATCCTCCCGTTACACAGTTCCTATTATTTTAGGGAGACCATTTTTAAGAACAGCCCGAACCAAGATTGATGTCCATGTTGGCACACTTTCCATGGAATTTGATGATATTTTGGTCCGGTTTAATATTTTTGATGCTATGATGCATCCATCTGAGGACCATTCTGTATTTCATGTTGACTTGCTTGATGAGTTGATTAATGATCATATCTCTGATTTTATTCATGATTATGATTCTTTATCATTGATAGCCTCACACACTTGTCATGCATGCACTGATTATGAACTGTGTAGTTCTTGCAATGATGACTTTTTGGATATTATTGTTGATCCACATGATATAGAGTCATATTGCACTAACCCAATTGTTCAAGTGCTGGGTGCAGAATCTATGCCTGCTACTTTGGTTCCATCTTTTTTTGAAGGCACCTATATTGGAGCTGAAACCTTTACTTGATAACCTCAAGTATGCTTACTTAGAGGATGATGAGAAGCTCCCTGTCGTTGTTTCTACCTCCCTTGATTCTGACCAAGAGGAGAAGTTGCTACAAGTGCTGAAAAAGCATAAAAAGGTCATTGGTTGGACCTTAGGTGACATTCCTGGTATTAGCCCATCCATGTGCATGCATAGAATACTCTTGGAGGATGGAGCTAAACCAGTGAGGTAACCACAAAGGAGACTCAATCCAATGATTCTTGATGTTGTGAAGAAAGAGGTCACTAAGCTTCTACAAGCTGGGATTATATATCCCATTTCTGATAGCCATTGGGTGAGTCCAGTTCAGGTAGTTCCTAAAAAGACAGGAATTACAGAGGTGAGAAATGAGAGGGATGAGCTAATTCCTACTAGAGTGCAGAACAGTTGGAGAGTTTGCATTGACTATAGGAGGCTCAATCAAGCAACAAGAAAGGATCATTTTCCTTTACCCTTTATTGACCAGATGCTTGAACGGTTAGCAGGTAAATCTCACTATTATTTTCTTGATGGTTTTTCTGGATACTTTCAAATCCATATTACTCCTGAGGATCAGGAGAATACCACATTCACCTGCCCCTTTGGCACTTTTGCCTATAGGAGGATGCCCTTTGGCCTATGCAACGCCCCTGGTACATTCCTGCGGTGTATGGTTAACATTTTTTGTGACTTTTTGGAAAGTTGCATAGAGGTGTTTATGGATGATTTTACTGTATATGGATCTTCATTTGATGCATGCTTGGATAGTCTGGATAGAGTTTTTCATAAATGCATAGAAACCAACCTTGTTCTAAATTATGAGAAGTGTCATTTCATGGTAGAGCAAGGCATAGTTCTAGGCCATGTGATCTCTAATAAGGGCATAGAGGTAGATCCTGCCAAGATAGATGTTATTTCACTATTGCCTTACCCCTCTTGCGTGCGAGAGGTTCGTTCTTTTCTTGGTCATGCAGGTTTCTATCGCAGGTTCATTCAAGATTTTAGCAAGAAGGCCCTTCCACTATCCAATCTGTTGCAAAAGGATGTGGTGTTTGATTTTGATGAAAGATGTAAAGAGGCCTTTGACTTCCTCAAGAGAGCTTTGACCACCACTCCTATCATCCAGGCACCTGATTGGATAGTCCCTTTTGAGCTAATGTGTGATGCTTCTAATTATGCATTGGGGGATGTCCTTGCACAAAAAGTAGACAAATTGCCTAGGGTGATTTATTATGCTTCTAGGACTTTAGATGTTGCACAAGCAAATTATACCACCACTGAAAAAGAGCTCTTAGCTATTGCATTTGCTCTAGAAAAATTTAGATCTTATTTGCTTGGTTCTAGAATTGTTGTTTTCACTGACCATGCAGCACTAAAGTTCTTGTTGAAGAAAGTTGAGTCTAAGCCAAGGTTGATTAGATGGATGCTCTTGCTCTAAGAGTTTGATTTGGAGATTCGTGATAGGAGCGGGGCACAAAATTTGGTTGCTGATCACTTTAGTAGAATCGACAGAGTTGTTGATATGATGCCCATTCGGGATGATTTTCCCGATGAACAACTTTTGCATATCTTTGTTTCTTCCCCCAATCCTTGGTTTGCTAATATTGTTAATTATTTGGTTGCATCTGTTTTTCCTCCACTAGCATCTAGGGCTCAAAATGATAAACTTAAAAGTGATGCTAAATTTTATTTTTGGGATGACCCCTATTTGTGGAGATTTTGTACTTGTGAGCAGTGTCAGAGAGTAGGTGGTTCCATTTCTTGGAGACAAGAGATGCCTCAACAACCTATGTTGTTCTGTGAGGTTTTTGATGTTTGGGGTATTGATTTCATGGGTCCCTTTCCTGTTTCTTTTGGTTTTACTTATATTCTGCTTGCTGTTGATTATGTTTCTAAATGGGTGGAAGCTAAAGCCACCAGGACTAATGATGCTCGGGTTGTTGTGGATTTTGTTAGGTCTCACATTTTTTGCAAGTTTGGCATACCCAGAGCTATTGTTAGCGACCAAGGCACACACTTCTGCAATAGATCCATGCAAGCTATGCTCAAGAAGTACGGGGTTGTTCATAGAGTTTCCACACTATATCACCCCCAAACAAATGGGCAAGCTGAGATTTCAAACAGAGAGATAAAGAAGATTTTGGAGAAGATGGTGCAGCCTAACATGAAAGATTGGAGCAACAGACTTGAGGATGCTCTTTGGGCACATCGAACTGCTTACAAGGCACCCATAAGGATGTCTCCTTATTGGGTTGTCTTTGGTAAAGCATGTCATCTTCCTGTGGAGATTGAGCATCGTGCTTATTGGGCTGTGAAGACTTGCAACTTGGCTCTTGATCAAGCTGGTGAAGAAAGGAAGCTCCAACTCAGTGAACTGGATGAGATCCGCTGAGAAGCCTATGAGAACTCTAAGTTCTATAAAGAGAAGACCAAAAGATTCCATGATAGCTTGATTTCTAGAAAGGAATTTGTGGTTGGCCAAAAAGTGTTGTTGTATAACTATAGGCTTGGTCTCATGAGTGGTAAGCTTCGTTCTAGGTGGATTGGTCCTTTTGTTGTAACTAATGTGTTTCCTTATGGTGCAGTAGAAATCTCAAGTGAATCCACAAATAAGATCTTCAAGTAATGTCTTTCAAAAGTAATCACTTCCCTTTCATGGATAAGGTTGTAAAAAGAATTTTTGGATTACGAAAATTGGGTCCTTACAATATGGTATCAGAGCATATGTCAACTCTGCGGCCTACGGTATGACCTTACATGCTTCTTTGTGAAATTTGTGTGAGTAACTACTTGACTTATGTGAATTGTTGTTGACTATGTGGTAACTGCTAATGTAAAAGATGATTGTTAAATTCCTTGCGGTAGGTGTTTGGTTGTGAATTTATCGTTCGATATCTTGTTGTGAGTTATTGATGAAGTGCTTGTTGAAAACTCCTTGCTGTCAATTTTGTAGAGGATTTCAGGTTGTAAAACTTTTGTTGAATTTATTGTGTGAGACCCTTGTTGGGGATTCTCTTGTGAAACTCTTGCTGAAAGTTTTGG